TTCACGTCAGTCACATGAAATATATTTTATACCTTTTTTGTGGTATTTGGAGCAGGCTAACTGACCGGAGTACTTGCTAATAAGCAGATTAAAATAACATTAAAGATAGATGTTGTGTATCGGTATTACCTTTAAAACTCTTATTTTTTAATAACCTAAATGAAATATTTATTCTCTGAATATATTTAAAAAAATCTACACAAGTTATTTATCATTCCTATAAGGATTTAAAAAAATGAATCAACAAATCACTCTGAAACAGATCTACGTAGACAAAACAAAACATAACCTAAAATTTGATGTTTGACTTTCACTCGTTTGATTTTTGTCTAAGTTCTAGTTTGATGAAGATGAAGGTTAACATTTTTATTGTATGTATAAGTTTATTATCAACCAAGTTGAACGTTTTTATTTTATACAAGTCTTATTTTAGGTTTATTCTTTTCTAGACTAGAATTCAAATTCAAATAGTTTTATTGCCATTAAGTATACATGTCATACAATAGGCCAGGTCAATGCAGATAATATACAATTCAAAGTACAATGTACAGAGTCAAGTGTAAATAGATGAACATGCTATACTAATAAACTAATAATACTGGGTTTTTGTACAAAAGTATTACAGATGTATTGATAATTATGGTAATAATACCTTTTAGGAATAATACCTTTTTAGATATAGAATAATATTATTCACAACACTGATATTAATATTTCATCATTACAAACTTGTTTAGGCCTACCCTAGTTGTAAGTTTTATGAAAGTTAAAATGTTGATCTTAACTTTTATAAGTATTTTAATTTCATTATTTTGTAATAAAATATTTTTTCTATACTAATTTGTACTAGGCTTATTTTATATCCCTAAAATTTTACACTGCTACGTCTGCTACCACAATGGTTTGTAAAGTTTTTTGGATATGAAACATTACTTGTTCAAGTTTTTTGAAGTCATAAAACTGCATTATGAATTAGTAGAAGTTTTAGAAATTGAGTAATTTTGTATATATGTAAAACTAGGTATGTTTTGTTAACAGAAGTTTATTAATAATGAATTGAGTGTGACTGCTGTGTAGTATAATTTGTAGATTTTTTTAAAAAGTACAGAAATTGATTTCTAAAAAAAAAAAAAAAATTGTTGGGAAATCTATGTTAAGCAGTTGGGAAATTTGAGGCTTCTCCCCCCCCCCCCCCTGGGATTTAACCAAGCAATGCCACTGATATTTTCTGACATGCTCAATTACATCAGGATGCACTTGTGATCTAGGGAGTGGTGAAGTAATTTTGTCAAGAATAACTACAGTACAATTCTGAGCTACGAGTTTACTGCTTAGAGTTTCGAAATCCACATTAGTTACACCTAAGGTTACATACACCTAGTTACACCACATTAGTACTAAGGCCAGAGATGCCATCAATAGGAATTGCTGACTTACTTCGGACCACGTTTAATAGCTGGGCTGCACGTTCAGAGATGAAGGAGAATTGAGAAGCTGAATCAATCAAACCTCGGAGGATATGTGCGTGTCCGGAGGGAGACTTAACCTTGACAAGAGTCGTGGCTAGAAGTACTGTGGAGTTGCATTGGGAGAATTTATCACTTTTGCAAACCATGGATGTTGCACTTTAAGGGTATAAAACTTCATTAGGTTCACTTAGGCCTATATGTTGTTCTTCGGAGCGATTTCTGACTTTAGTAATAGGCTTAGTAGGTTTAGGTTTCAAAAAATGCAAAAGTGAATGATGAGGTTTTGAACAAGTCTTACAAGTACGCTTAGACATACACTGCTTAACCAAATGATTGCCAAGGCAAATTGTACACAGTTTTAAGTCATGTACCATTTGCAACCTTTCTTGAGGGGTTTTACTCTGGAATAATGTACAACTATATACATTGTGACTTTCATTGCAGCAAAAACATTTGAGATCATTTGAAGTGCTTACAAAAGCCAAAGGTCGACGTTGAAGATTTATCATTTTGAAATGAAACTTGGTTAGGGTTGGACATTTTTAGAGGAGCTACTTGTGGAGCATGACAGAGAGAGGCATCTCCACTGTTGTTACAAAAGTCTTTAAGAAATTTTATTAATTCACTTGCTTGAGGAAAATCAGAAGAATTTATGCGTTTTGATTCGAAAACTTGACAGAGGTTGGAATTTATTTTTCGTAAGATCAACATACTTAGTAGGTAGTTGTCTTCCATGACATTATAGTCAAGAACACTAATATAAGAGCTTGTTCATTTTCATTAAACTCAATTAAAAATGATCTGAGGTTTTTGATAGATTTGTCAGTTATATTGGGCAAATCAACAATTTTACTGAGGTGGACAGAGATTAGCCTACGCTTTGAGTGATATCTTTCCCGTAAAGCATTATAGGCTACTGTATAATTGCCAGATGAGATCGGTAAAGATTTGATTAAGTGTAAAGCTTCGCCTTCAAGTGAACTTATCAAGTACTGGTGTTTTTCAACAAGGGATAAGCTACTATTGTTGTGGATAGTAGTATCAAAAAGGTTAATGTAGGATATCCATGTTTTAGTGTCACCATTGAAGGACTTCAGTTCTAGCTTAGGCAATTTTACAATGCTAGTAGAAGGCCTAGAGGTTGGGTTTGATGTTACAGAGTTATTTGACAAGTGTTCATCATTAAAGTTCTGAATTAGAAGAGAAATTTTGGTTTGAATGTTAATTGAGAGTTCTGATATGTCGTTCTGGAGCTTTAAAATAGCTTCTTCATTGTCAGAAAAAACGTTAGTATTGTCATCAACATCAAGAAGCTTATCTAGGTTAGATTCAAAATTGGCAGAAATTGTTTTAGCTTTGTGCAAATAAAGGTTAAGTTTAGCGGTTTGAGCTTCTGTTATTTCTGGTGGACACGATTGAATATACTCACTGATCGTATTTAATTGCAATTTGCATCTATTAGAAAATGTGGAAAATCTCATTTTGAAAGTTAGGCCTAGATCGTTCAATGAGTTCAGTAAGTAGTCTAAATAATGTAAATGGATGGAGTAATTAGAGGATAAGGACAACTGAGGAATAAAATCTGGGTTTCTTTTTTATTTTCTTGTAGGTATTGATTTATTGTTAGAACTTACGATGAGATGCGATGAGTTGTCTTCATTGTCTTCGAAGAAGTACAGACATAACCTTACTTTTGACATGACGTTTGAAGCTGAAGTTGTAGACGAAATGAAGTGTCGAAGTGATGAATGCGGAGCGGAACTAGCAGAACGATGACGATGTTGAACACTTGGAATGAGAGGAGTGTGGACTGTATCGTGACGTAGACGAAAAGTTCAAAATGGCGATGCGGTATTGTCCTTGGCGGCTTCACGATGGATGACATACGTTCAACCGAGACATTGAAAATAAACTTGAGAAAAGTCGCACTAATGTTCGTAGATATAATCCGCGGCTCGATAGGACCAAAATGTGCGGTGTATTTATTATTAGAGAGGAAAAAGTCGAGGGTTTTGGTATAAAAGAGAATAATTTATTACGAGAAAAATGAATGTGTGATGTTATGAGCGGTGATTGGAGACGAATGAATCCAACAATGGTCATATGATGGAATGTTAAATACAAAGACATTTAAATTAATAGATGAAACAAAGACACTTGACGGAACAGAGATACAATACTTCCTAGAAGTTGATAATGTTTTGGTCCAATACAATTGATCAATATTCTTGCTTTGATTTGTTGTACTTCATCTTCGTTCCCCTTAATGTTTTTCAAATTAAAGTAATTTTCAAGTCGTTGTTTATATGAATTGAAATCTTCAAGATTTTCACCAAATGAGTCGAAATTGAATGATGTGATTACGTTCTAGGGTGTTGAAGGTTTTGGGTTCTGTGCATGCGTTTGTGTGATTTCATTAAACTTGTTCAGAAGTATAGCTTGTTGTTGAACAAATGTTGATAACATTTTTGAAAGGTCTTCAGTCATGATAGTATGTAAGTAAATGAATTGTTTATCCTGTAGAAAAGTGTAAGAGTCATTAAGAATCCCGTCCTCGTCGCCACTAAAACATATTTCACTTTGAAAACAAATAAATGATTCTATAAAATATTAGAACAAAACTGAATTTAATAATCATAGAAAATGTAATCATAAACATTTTACAGATGATTCAGATAATTGTTGTTTTAAAGAGCCAGGTAATGTGAATATATTACACTTACTCTGGGTTGATCACTTCACTCGCAACTATAAGGTGGCACAGCGCAGCGGGGGAGTCTCAGACTCCCGCCTCGTTGGGCCTTTCCACTGCCCATGGTTATATTACAATCCTATTATAGGATTACAAACAACAAAGGACCTACTTATTTATAGGCCTACTTATTTTCCTATAAATAAGGCCTACTTATTTATAGGAAAGAGTTTAGGAAGATATGCTCTACAAACTTTAGAGGAAGTGTTTTTCATTTTTTTGTGATAAAAAAGAAAAGAAAAACTAAAATACTGGTGTAAAAATTTGCTCAATTTCATAATTTATCATTCAATTTCAAAGAATGTATTGGATTTATCGCAAAGTGTAAAGAAACTTCTCTTGGAAAATTTATCTTGTACAACAAACTAAATTTATTGTAATTGGATAAACCATAATGGATATAAGCATGATTGCAATTCCTTTGCAACAATACCTTGCAACAACTTTGCAATTCCTGACTTTGCCCGGGGAAGCATCACGAGGATTTTAGGAAACTTTTGGTAAAATTTACATATTTTGGTGTACCATCCAGTGGTATAAATAATTTTACTTTTCACTAATTTGTTCCGACACAAAACCTTTATTTACAGTGGCAGTGGCGGGATAGTCAGTAGCGGCACTAGGGTATAGTGGTGGGGGTAGGACGGCTCGCACTACAAGTCGATCACAGAACTGAGCAGGATTCAGTTGTAACATATATAGAGATCTATGGTTGGCACATTATCTCCCCTTTTCTCCTTTCATATGATTCACAAAAAGTAAAATACAAATTCCTTTACCTCTTGGGCGAACGTGGTTTGGAAGTCTTCAGGGAACTTGTTGGCTCTCAGATTTGTCAGAGTGTGTATCCGTTCCATCTGGGTGTTGAAAGGAACCAGCAATTCAAAAAGAATCACACCCAGGGAGTATATGTCCACTTTATAACTGTAAGGCTTTCCAGATACCTGAATAACAATCAAGAAAATTAAAAATAATTCAATATAATGTGATACAGTAGAATCTTGTTAGTCATACACTGCATCGGTGGTCTTTCATCTTGGGTAACAAGAAAAATAACAAGAAGAAAATCTTTCTTGACTCGTTTGATTATACAGGGTGTTTTTAAAAGAATGCTGGGATTTTAAACAGTCGTTGCTCGGGGACTATTCAAGATAATTAAACGATTTAAACGTCAAATTGAAGGGAAAAGAACAAAGTTCTTTTCTCACTCTTTGATACAATTCGGAATGATTTAATAAAGTTTAGATTTTTACCAATCTTATATGAGCGTAAAACTGGCAAAATATGTACGCTTATAGCGATCAGCGGTACAGTTTATCTGAAATCTTAACTGAATATTTTTAGGCACATAAAGACTCTTATCTTCTACAGATAACATAACCAAGTGACCAATTTAGGTTTGTTTAACTGAGAACTTCGTCGGGCAAGAGATTTTTTCAGACTTCTGGTGCAGAATTGTCGGATTTCTTCGACTATGTCATCGTTTGTTTTTAGCTGGACAGGTGAATGTCTTTACAAAACACTACGGTGCCACAAAACTCATTAAACCAGCTTCAAGTTTCTTTATCATCAAGTAGATTTAAATTTAGTTTAATTTAGCAATGAATATAAACTCTGCGAACCACAGATTACAATCTGTGCCTTCTGTTGCGCCGTAAACGTCTTACTGGCAACTGGCGTCAAGCGTATGAGTCACAATAGTGGCCTACCTCCACGTACCTGTTTTGCAGTGCCGGATTTAGGGTACTTGCCCTAGGCCAAATTAATTGAGCGGCCCTCCCCCTGTGGTGGAAATTCCTTGCGATCGCGGAAGTAATCGTGAATATCTCCTATGCATCAAGGGCACATCATCATCGACACCCGTATCAAGGATGAAATCGTGGGCATCTCTCATAAATCATGTCAAAGCTATTATAGGTATCCGTGGCAAAATCATGTACATTCCCTGTGGGCTGCAACAAAGGTGCATCATCTTTGACACTCCCGAACGCGACGAAATTGTGATAATATCCCGTCAGCTGTAACCTTGAGGACATCATCACCGTTACCCGTGACAGCAGTAAAATCGTGAACACCTCCCGCGGGCCGCAATCACAGGGACATCATCATCGACACTCATGACCGTGGCGAAATCATAAACACCCCACGAAATTGGGAAGCCATCACAGGGAATCATCATTGACACCCCAGCCCCAGGGAAATCGTGAAAATCTTCCGCGGGCCGCAATCAGGGGGACGCCATCGTCAACACCCTCGGCCACGGTGAAATCATGAAAATCTCCCGTGGTCCGCAATCACGGGGACATCATCTTCAACACTCACGACCGCGGTAATATCGTGAACATCTCCCTCAGTCCACAATCACGGAGATATCGTTATCGTCACCTGCAATCGCGGCAAACTGATGGTTTTAAAATATTTTTTAAAAATCTAAATAAATGTTTTTTCAATCCTCTGCGGCCCCCTTTTGCTTGCGGCCCTAGGCTGCGGCCTAATCGGCCTAGTGGTAAATCCGGCACTGCTGTTTTGCGCATGCCAAGGTCAAAATTTCCTCCCTTGCTACACGGGAAACAAAACTTAGTTATAATAGCTTCAATTTGACGTATAAAACGTTTGTTACCTTGAATAGTACCCAAGCAATGATCATTAAAAATCCCGGCATTCTTTTAAAACCACCCTGTGTTTATTTTTACAGTAACAAACATGCTTATCTTGAAATACCTCATGGGTATAAGGATAGGTATCAAATCAAACGTTGTATTTGATCTCCTTTAAAAGATAACTTAGCATGTATCAGGGGTTATTTTACATTTTAAATACCCCCACCGCAGCAAACCTGCAGACTAAGCGAATTTCCATTTGACTGATTGGATTTACACTGAAATGTCTACTTACAAATATAACATTTATTCTTGATTTAAATAGAATTAGTTTAACAAGTACTTAGGTTTGCTGCATCAGGGAGGGTAAAACTGCTTTTTTTTTTGTAAAATGTGAATAGTTAGTAAGAAATAAAAACATTTTCCAAATTTGACCAAGATATGTTCACAAACAAGCAAACTACAACAGTTTACTTATTCTCCATAAGAATAACATGGGAATTTTAAATTTACAATTTTTTGGAATTTTCTCCGTAACCATTAGGCGCATAATAACGCTTCAATATACTAAATTATTTGTTTTTTTAAGCTCTACAAAATGGTTTGGAAAGAAATTGCTAAATTTTATGTTTTTTGGGCCAAAAATGGGAAAAACCTATTTTTACCCCATAAAACCCCCCGTAAACCCCCGTTCCCATGGTCCGATCATGCTGGATCGCGAACTCGTTCGAATAAATGTACGTTTACACGTTTGTACCAAATTTCATCAAAATCGGATAATTTTTGCTCGAGTTATCGTGCTGACGGACACATATATATATATATAAATATATATTAAGAAAACTGTAGTGATTAGGGCTACTATTTTGATATATAAACGCATTATTAAAAACTAAGTACCCTTTTTTAATTAATTTTATTTAACAACGACTAGTTTCGACGATTATGTCATAGTCATGTTGTTTTTATATCTAACAAATACAATAAACATTTTATCTAAATAATAAATACATTCATATGATTTCATAGGTTTTGATGACTTTAGATTTCTTCTGTTTTAACACGTTCGCTGCGGCACGTCAAATAGCGGGCGTATCCCCAGTGTGGCGCAGCCCTCAGCGTCGAGTAAACCCGATTGCCGCGTGTGATTGGCCTTTTCAATTTTGGTCTGACGAATAGCAAATAACGTGAGGGGATGTCCTGCTTTACAACGAGAGTCGATGTAGTTCGCTAAACACCCACAGATAGCAGCACTGCTTGGAACGTAGCCGGTCCCATTGGAATTGTATTGCCAAATGGAGGGAAAAAGACGGGAAAAAAAGAAGACTTTTGAGATTGCCAGACGGGGATTTTACGGGGAAATTTACTACCAACCTACACCACAACAAAATGCAAGTCACATACTACACGCTAACGTCGTATAGGTCCGCTTTCGGCCGACGCTGGAGCAAAAACGAAGATATACAAAAGGCATTACCGAGCGTTCCCGATGGGGTACGGACGCACCGTACGGGGGCCAAGCACCGTACCCGATCGGGAACGGCCGCACTCTACGTGTTAAATGGTCTTTATACTATATATAATAATTTTCTCTCTTAATTTAACTGCAGGATTTTTTCAAATATTGGATTGGATTTGTTGGTGTTCATTGTGTTTAGTAAATTTTCTGGGTGTTGTTTATAGTTTTTGTAAATGTAAAAATCTTCTTTAACATGTAATTTTGATTTGTCTTTTTCATATTCAAGGATTTTTAAATTTTCGTGGATGCTTTTGTATTCATGGTCTGTTTGTATTAAATGTTCTGCAAAATTAGATTTCATTGTTGTGCGGTTTCCTGATCTTAATGCTTGAATATGTTCTTTGAACCGTTTTTCAAAAGTTCGACTTGTTTGCCCAATGTAGGATTTATCACAATTAGAACATTTGATTTCATAAATACCTGATTTTCTTATATTGTCTTGATTGTGGTTAGCTGTATTTTCTTTTGAAATTTTGTTATTGATCATTTGAAAAGCATTATTTTTTGTTTTATAACTGATTATTACATTTGAACGGTTGAAAGTTTTTCTTAGGGCTTTATTAATTTTTGTATTGTACGGTATACAAATAAATTCTTTTCTCTTTTTGTTTTCTGTTCCTGAAGTAGTTCCTTGTGTTTGAAGTTTTCTCTTAAATTTCTTCTTAATCATTTTTTCAATTATAGATGGATTGTATCCATTTTTCACTGCCAAATATATAATAGTATTTTTTTCTTTGTTAAAGTTTTCAGTGGACATAGGAATATTTACAAGTCTGTGTGTTAATGAATGAAATGTTGCCAATTTATGTTGCCATGGATGATTAGAATGTGAAGGTATGATACTGTTTGTTGTAGTTGGTTTTCGGTAAATTTTAAATCTGTGAATGTGTTTTTCTTTTGAAATGGTTATATCTAGAAAGTTAATGTGTGAATGTTGTATTTCTTTTGAGAATTTAATTTGTGTCGAGATTGAATTTATGTGTTCGTGTAAATTGTTTGCTTCTGTTTGTGTTCCTTCAAAAAGGCAAAGGATATCGTCAGTGTTGGGGAAGCTACTTTTAAAATGTAGCTAGCTACAACTACTGCTACATTTCCAAAAAAGTAGCTTAGCTACAGCTACAGCTACAGTTCCGGAAAAGTAGCTAGCTACAACTACAGCTACAATGCAATGTAGCTACAGCTACAATTTTAGCTACTTTCCCAAAGACGTACTTTTTATTCCATGCACATTAGGTAAATGTAAAATTAATTGCAACAACATTTTTATTGAACAAACATTTAAACATGACATGTCAGTATTGTATCTAACATTACTTGGAAAACAAATTATTCCTGGATTTTATTTAATTTGTTGGCATTATAAACCTAACATTACAACAACAGCATCAAATAGTTGGGTGTCCCATCATATTTAGCACTTATTTTTAAATATTGCATTATTTTTAAGCATCTTAGCCTATATGTAAATTTCATTAAGTTCAAAGGACATTCAACCAAACTATGTTTTAAAAGCTCATTTTATTTCTTTAATATAGATTCATTTATAGATGTCTTATATCAATAATTAAGACCACTTAAACTGTAAAACGATTATTTAAAAATACTTTTTTGTGTTACAGAGCCTAGCCTATTGAAATTGGAGTTTATTGCCTTTCTTTACTTTTAATGTTAACAACGACATTGCTATAACTTTTAACCATGATAAGTTACTTGTTCTATGAATAACACTTTTCAATGTCAAGAAATCGTCCTTTATTGTCATTATGCATAGGGCAAATTGTGCTTCAACCTAGTTGGTACAGAAAACAGTATTCAGCAACTTATC